GGCTGCCGTCGGCTCGTCTGATGGTAAAGTACCGACTTCGCCGACAACGTGTATAAAGCCGTGCCGACGTAGACGCACTGACCACTGCAGCTGTGTCGCTAACGATGGACACTCGTGCTGACCGGTCCCTATCCATCAACACATTCTTGGTGTAGTCGTCCATCCCCCCGAATCCCATCCATTCTATGGGCTATTATCTGACAGTGAGCCGTCACATGCCTCTCATGCGTGGAGTTTGAAATTAAATATAGAATGTACTTTGCGAAAAGCACGTTTTTACCACTCACGCGTGTGCGCGAACACACCCCCGATAGAGAGAGAGGGAGAAATAAAGAGTTCGACAAGCAAATAGAGAAATAAGAAAGAGAGAGAGAGAGAGAGAGATAGACGAGGGTAGCGGACGTGTGCGTGCGTGTGAACGTCCGTTTGTGCGTTTATGTTTCGTATTTCTGTAAAATATAACAACGTTGTGTATGCGTCTTAACGTTGTTGACAAATATCCAATATAACAGAATGATGGTAAAAAACTCAAATAAATTGAAATTATACGTATAATATTTTATAGTAGAGAACGCAACTTCGCGAGTATTTTTATATGTAAGCTGTCGATAGTAATATGTCTCTCATCATTGCATATGAGCCTCATATAGTGTATCTGTTAATCTTAATTTTACTGCGTGTCGACATAAAACTTGAATGGATAACACGCTAAGTAGAGAGACAGCTTTTTGTAATAATGTTGTGTCTTTATCTGCGTATAGAGTCTGTGAGTTGAAAGTATTTTGCACCGCCGCGGTCACACATTGTCACATTCTACGTTTACCCAGACTTACATGCAATGCCAAAAAATAATTTATAGTGAGATAGCAACAGTTTATTATTCAAAATTTCTATACAAACATACATATAATTATGCGAAATTGACTTGTTCGTATTTACACTATAGGATGTTTAAAGTACAATGGTTGGCAAGTCACGCTGCTTACAACGTGTGCTTTATTGTTACATTTTTCTGTACAAGCATGATAGTATGTACATTATAGAACTATGTCAACACGCATTGATCACTACACAAATATTTACTCCCTCATATGTTCAATAAGTATAACGCTTATAGTATACATGTATGCTATAGTAACAAGAATATATCGTTACGATTATGTACGTATTGATGTGGATACTTTAGGCGGGAGCCAGGTTCAAAGTCGCGCACATATACGTGATGACACATGTCGCTATTGTCCTCCTCAACAACCGTTTATATATCATCTACGAACGCTTTACACACACGCGCGCGTTAATACTCGTGTAATAAACCATCTCGTGTTGTCTGGCTGGCTTCCATGGGTTCGTCTGCCATCGATAGACACGCGGTGTGTTAACTGTCATCACGGTAGCCATCGGAAGCCATGAACGAGGCCAGAAAGTCGATCATGTAGCAGCAGGCTGGACTTGACGTCGACATCATATACTCAACGTTCAGTGCTTCTAAATAAGACAAAAACACTCAATGTTTAGCGCTTATAAATAAGAAAAATATACTCAACGGTCACCGCTTATGAGAAGAAAAAAGTGGGTTCTGACATTCTATACAATATGTCTGTTTTATTGTACAAAGTAAATGCGGGGTTTACAAGTTACGCTGATATGGGAATACTACATGTAAATGTCTTGCGAACCCCCTCAAGAGGCGGCGACGCTGCAACATTACCAAGGCTTACTAAATGCTCTTTATTTACAACGCATAATACAAGCGGTACACAGAAATAAGCTAGAGGAGGCAACATGAAAGTACATGGCAACAGTCTAAGATGTCTATGGCAAGACAATATATTTATAAATATAATCGAGTATGATAATTGGGATGAGTTTATAACATACCGATGAAGTTGAGGATGCTGGGAGCAGCGAAGCCGTGCTGCGATGAGAGAGAGAAGCTGTCATCTAGCATCGGTGACGTGTCAGCAACACGGACGACATCTTCTGATTCATCTTCATCGTCCTCATAGACGCCAGCACGCCGATAATCTATGCGAAGCGGCGACGTCGCTCTGTCGCCGTGTCCGTCAACGTAAGAGTCTGAGAAGCTCTCGTCGGATGAGGAGAGCGACATATCAAAGGATGCTGTCAGGTCGGGAAGATGCTGTGTCATGAGCGTCAGAGCGCCGTCTGGATAGGCGACGGCTAGCTGCTGCAGATAGACAGGCATCGCGTACTGAAGGCTGCAGTCGATCAGTAAGGGGTCCGTGTATCCGTGCGCCGCATCATGACAGCACTGCGACGTTACGTGCTGCTGTTGCATTTCGTCTGTTCGTAGAGCGAGTGCGTGCGTCTGTATGTCTCGTGTGTGTAGAGCGAACATGCAGTGACTGCCGTCGGCGGAGGGAGTGTCGTTTATAAGCGTGGCGTCGACGACACGGATGACGGGTCGTCGGCAGCGACGGCAGCGCCACCGTGTCACGTCGGCGTCGCCCACGGCACTTCTTTATACAGGTTGTCGGCGAAGTTGGTACTTTACCATCAGACGAGCCGACGGCAGCCGCCACACACGTGCCGCGACCTCTGTCGGCTGGACATTGGACACGCGTTAGTGTGGACCGTTAACAAACCGGACCGGTCAGCATTGTTATAGCTGGTGCGTGCGTTACTGCACTGGCTTACACGGCGCGCGCGCAACCCTCGCTGATGACAACAACAACAACATCAACAACAACATACCTGTAACGATGCGGCGTGTCAACGATGCATTGTAGCGGGAGGTTACCTATTATGTTCTATCTATGTATAGATCTCTCATTGTATCACCCGTAGCGGAACGTGGCCGGTTTTGTTGGTAATGTTTTCCTGAGGCAACGAAAAGGAACAGGTGCCGTATTCTGAAGATAAATAACTTAAATTGTGGTGTAGTTTTATTCGTCATAAATCATGAAGAAGTTTGACGTTGGGGATAGTTTTAGCTGTAACGATGCCGCGTGTCAACGATGTATTACAGCGGAAGATTACCTACTATGTTCTATCTATGTATAGATCTCTCCTCGTGTCACTCGTAGCGGGGTCACGTTGGTGATGTTATGCTATGATGTTACCCATCGCTTCATTAATGTAGTATAGTGTTTTCGTTCCAGAAAACCGCGACTTTATCCGCAACGACGTAAATTATAAGTTCCCACCATAGACAGTATATACTAGTTATACATTTTACTATAGTGTCTCTATATATTTATTTGGTGCCACCCCTCTCTAACTTCCCTAGAGGCAAGTTTAAGGCCAACTTAAATTGCGATGTAGTTTTATTCGTCATAAATCATGAGAAGTTCGACGTTGGGGATAGTTTTAGTTATCATATATTAATAAAAGTTTCATGTTAAGGATTAGTAATTACAAGTGACTATCGAGTAACTGCTAAAAATCGTAAAATCCGCCAAAACACCGAAAAAATACTAATTAAAGACCATTAACAGCATTGCGCGAATAACAAAAAACAGCCATAAAATTTTAAATTTATTTTATTCACTAAAATAAACTATGCGTTAGTATTTCCATTCAGGATAATGTATAAAAATGACAAAAATGTTCGAGTACACGTAAAGTTCGGTTAACTTACTGAGACTGTTGATCAGAGAACGAGAACAATATACATTACAAGTTGGAAACATTTCCCCAACAAAAGCTTACATGGTATACACACAGAACATCGCGAACAGAATGGTCGTATGAACAGTTGGAACCAATCATCAGACCATCATACTAACCAGTGTATTTTGCGTTCCGGGAGAACATAAAATCTTCATCACAATCGACAGTACAAACAACAATTTACTCGGCGGACTGCACAGCATTGCACTCTTTTCAACATAATCATATGAACAAAAGCTCATAATACCTACTATTAGGTATTATTATTATTACGAGGTATTATTAGCTCTTGATATGAAGCATGAGGGAAGACTTGAGATCCACGATTAAACAAATGATGTATACGGTATTAACAGAGAGGGAGAGAGGAAGGCGCTTCCTACCAACAACAGGAGTGTATGATAGACATATATTATCTATATTATATACACACCTGACATAACACGCAATTTTACGCAGCTGTGTGTGAGCCATGCCGAACGCGCGATTTGACTACTACGAACACTCACTCATATAAAATTTGATTCGTGTTTTTTCATGATTTCACCAAATAAGTGTTGACGTTTTATATGAGCGTACGCTTATTACCCCCCTAGCCACTTGTCATGAAGACAGGTGGCATCCAGGTAAATATCCAGGTGAAGGATTGTGCAGTGGGGAATGGGGCCATTGTAGCGCCCACAAGCACCTGTACTGTAATGCCAATAGGCACTTATATTAGGCATTTCCAATATAAAAATGATAGTAAACGAACACGAACTGTATTTACTACCAAAGTCTCATGTTTCTCTATTCTGTTTCGCCTATTATTAGTTATAATTCCACTACACGTAAAAGTCGTTCAAACGCTCCGCTACGACACACAATGTCACCGCACGGACGCCACTGTACATATACTCACAGAAAGACATCACAGACGTCACAGACAAACAGACAGTGTTTTCTATCTTTGTGAGTTTATGCACCGTGGCGTGCGTGCGGTGACACGGTGCATCGCTAATGGAGACAGCCAATTAATTCCTAAAATATAATAACTGTCACCATAATCTTCCACGTTTCATAAACGAACATGATTACTGCGACCCTAGAACGCGACGTTAGAAGCGAACTTAATTCATCTGTCCCGCCTAGAAATAATTTGGTATCCGCTCGCGCATGATTCAGTATATTTCGCAGACCAACCACCACCGCCGCAGTGAAATTCACATTACCCTGGTTCGTAAACACTTACGTTCAGCTGAGATCAGATATGAAATTGAATATTGTACACCAGGGTACGGAACCGTCTTGATTCACGTGAACGGAAGTGATACCCTCTTGTTTTAACGCCACACATCTCCCTCTAGCGCCAAGAAACGGTAATGCATCGAAATACCGCGTGCATTTTATTTTACGTTTGTATCGTAACATAAATCGGGTTACTCTCTCCCTGGCCCACCAGACCACGGGCATGCCCTAATTAACTTTCTCGATATACTTAATTAATACTTAATTACTCGATTAATAATTACTCGCCGGGTACGCAACGGTAAGGAGTACGTGCACCATGTATTCTAACAATGCTTTATCGTGGAGAATGGATCGGCCGATACGAGGACACACACACAGAATAGCCGCCAAATGATCACTGCACATGTATAATCTCATACAGACAACGGTTAGACGCCTCACGTAAAGTCTCTGCACGCAAATTATCACTACACAAATATATATAATCTCATAAACACAACGACGATGAGCTGAATGTAAAATCCTCGTAGCAAACGACTCGCGTACGTGTCTAACGAAGTGATACGTTTACAGAAAGCATCGACAGATGTCGCCCCATAGATGACACGCGTAAATATGTGTACACGTCATCGGTGGATGATTGAGCACATGCCCTCCTCGATTTCAAACGCTTGCACACGCCCAATGTATATACGTACCTATACTTGCAATAACATGAACTTACTATTGAGATTCACCGACGAATTCTCTACGTAAAAAAATCCTAAGACGTCAACACTAAACGTCTTGTTGACTATATTTCGATTTTGTAAACGTAATTCAGAAACCATGTCTCAATAAAATTTACAAGATTAGTATGCATCTCAAAGTATTATAAAATAATCTGACCATTTTTACGAATTCTATAAAAGGGCTTTCTTTCTATAAAGGCCGAAATCACATAAGCTAAGGCACGGTGTACACACTTTCGTAGAGGTTTCAAACACTTATAGATCACCACTTGAGCCTGTCAAAAATCCTTTTAAAAAAACTTCGTCACAAATTCAAACTATAAGGTCACACTGCTAAATGGCTAAACTTCTGCATCACCCAAAATGTGACGCATTGTCAGCAATAACACACGGCAGTGAACGACAAAATAAAAAACACCGAAACAAAAATCCACCACCCATTGCTATAAACGCAGTGCTCACTTTACATCAATTGATTTTATACAAAATGGTATCAAATTACGATCATAACACAACACAACATCCGATAAGTTACAAAAACTCTCGGGAAAAAACCATCGACAAGTTTAGTTTCAGAAACTGTGCACTTAAATCTACATATAAAAGGTGCCATATTTGATATGGATAGGAAATCCACGATTATACACAACGAACGTACACAACCTAAGTTTTTATCAACCAGTACAATATATTCATGTTCCATTACCACGTTTCCACCAAAAACGTCCCCGCCCCACCATAGCAGATGCAAGCACGTAGACATTCATGTGACATTCTTATCTGCACACTACACATATAAAATAAAAAAAACAGTGTTGTATAAACAGAACAAAATGAAATTCGTAAAACTCATTACTCGATCATGTCAAGAGAGATTGCACAGAGAGTTCTAACAATTTTTACACGCCGATCGCAGCAATTCTACGATCGTTTTATGATTGTCAGAGCGACTCACAATCGAGATAAAACCCCCGTTGCTCACACACCACCCCGATCTTGCTTGCAGACGTTGGCAAGCTTTGTGTGTTGGACAGCTTACAGTGATGGTGGGTTAGTCCACACCTGTGATGTCGCATGGAAGACGGGAAAATTGATAACAATACCTGACCAATGTCCACTGTCAGTGTCCCTATACACAGCCAGGCATGACCTCTCTCATACTATGATATAGTATACAGAGAATTAAAGTAGTACATAACTTTTATTAGATGGTATATCTATCGTAAGGCAGTAGATATGTTTAGAAGTGAGTTTTCAGACGTTGATGAGATTTGCGTACGTTTGCGGCTTGGATGCCGCACACAGCTCCCTGCATTACCCATATTATAGTGACCCTGTGTTTAAGCTGTCATGCGCCACTTTTCACGTTACCCGCCACTGTTCACCTTGCGTTACCACGGTGACCAAGCGTGTTCGGTGACAGACTGCATCATTCAGCATTACCACGGTTACCCTGCAAGCCCGGTGACCAACCGACTGCATCATCCAGCGTTACCACGGTTACCCTGCAGAGTGATTGTCGACGGATGCCCGTGTCGTCACGGCGACGGCTCGTCTACAGCGTCGTCATGGCGACGGCTCGTCTACAGCGTCGTCGTCTCCTCAGCGCTGGAAGGATGCTGACGTCGTCGTGAGCTCAGTTCGGGTTCGCTGTCCGTTGAGCAGAACCTCAGAGCTGCGAGGTCCACGTCAGACAGCAAAGCGGCGTGCCTGCCCTTGCCCTTTCCTCGAGACTTCGTCTTGCGTAACCTGCGCACACGCGGAAGGGAATCGCTGCGGTGAGTGCGAGGTGGGTCGCGTTGTGCGATGGGACCGGTGGGAGCGGCAATGAGATGCACGAGCAGGTAAACAAAGCTTACCTGTGCTCACAGGTAAACAAATTTATGTGCTCACAGGTAAACAAAGCTTACTTGGTATGAGGCAAGTAAAAGAAATATTACTCCATGGCCAGGTAAACCACGTACCTGTGCTTGTGCCTCTGCAGCATCGTAACAAAGCTAGCACAACAGGTAAACAAAGCTTACCTGTGCTCAACAGGTAAACCAAAGCTTACTTGTATGAGCAGGTAAAGAAATCTACGCTGCATGCAAGGTAAACAACGTACTGTGCGTGTGCTGAGAAGGTAATACAAAGCTGAACGAAGAGCAGTGTAAACAAAGCTTACCTGTGCCTCACAAGGTAAACAAAGCTTACCTGTGCTCACAGTAAGACAAAGCCTTACTTTGCTCGAACAGGTAAAGCAAAGCTTACCTGTGCTCACAGAACAAAGCTTACTTGTGCTCCACAGGCTAAACCAAAGCTACTTGTGTCCACATGTAACAAGCTTACCTGTGCTCAAGTAAACAAAGGCTTAAACCTTGCTTGCCACACGAGGTAAAACAAAGCCTCACTGGTGCTCAAAGGTAAACAAAGCCTTACTTGTGCCTCACAGGTAACAAAGCTTACCTTGCCTCACGGTAAAACAAAGCTTCTTGTGCTACAGGTAAACAAGCTTACTTGTGCTCACAGGTACCAAAGCTTACCTGTGCTCACAGGTAAACAAAGCTTACTTGTGCTCACAGAGGTAAACAAAGCTTACCTGTGCTCACAGGTAAACAAAGCTTACTTGTGCTCACAGGTAAACAAAGCTTACCTGTGCTCACAGGTAAACAAAGCTTACTTGTGCTCACAGGTAAACAAAGCTTACTTGTATGAGCAGGTAAAGAAATCTTACCTGCATGCAGGTAAACACGTACCTGTGCTGTGTGGCTGAGCATGTAAACAAAGCTGAACGAGAAAATAAACAAAGTTTACCTGCACAAGCAGGTATAAACACATACCTGTGCTGCGTCGCGGATCGCCGCGCCTGCCTCAGCGCCTCGACGTCCGACCCCGAACTCGAGTCTCCCACTCCGCCGCCGTCCTGGGTCGCCGCCGCGGGCACGCTCAGCCGACACTGTGGCGTCCTCGCGGCCTTCACAGGTCGATACGGCTCCTGCGCATTGTCCTGCGAGTAGATGGGAATCGGTTGGAATTTCATCATCGATCATCGGTTGCACCCAAACCGATCGATGATCAAAGATAATCGGTTGAATGTTATTGATTGCGGCCACCAGATATTGAAAAATATCATATTGTATAATACAGTGTTTAGTACAATATTCTACATGCTATGTAACAGTATTATGCTTGCTTATGTTTGGTGTAGGTTAGATTTACGATCTCCAAGCTGTAAAGTAACACACACACACACAAAATAAAATAAAGAGTCATTTCATCAATGTTTGCAAATTCTATTGAAAATTTAAAAAAAAAAATTTGGGGGGGGATAATTGATTATTTATTTTCATAATCGAGTGCTTAGTCACTTGCTGCAAACGACTGACTTTAATCGATAATCGATAAATCGATTAATCGGTAATCGATAATCGATCATCGGCACATCACTACCTGAGAGCTTGTCGACTTCGGACCGTGGCTCGAGCTCGACCCGTGGCTCTTCGACGAGCAGCTGTTGCTATCGTCATAGCGACAGATGAGCACGGTTGGCTGGCGGGGCGACGTCGTCGTCGGCGGGGGAGCTTCGCGGGGAATGGCGGCGGGAGACACCGGCTCTCGTTCCGACGCCCACCGCGAGGCTGCGGCATGAGAGTACAATACACGTGAGAGCGATACAACCTCGATAATGATAAAACCTCAATAAAATAATAGCGACACCCCTAAAAAAATGCTGCTATGTAGGTAAAC